AAAGCTAAATTTTTCAATTTAAGCTATAATAAACAAAAACATTTGAATGATCGCAAAAAGAATGTGCTGTATAAAAATTTATGGATATTATACTTATTAAGCAAATAAATCGTAACAGAAGGATTGCATTTTCAATCTTAATATCAAAAATTTTTGCATGCAATCAAATTTTTTGAGGAAAAATTAAATTTAAGAAATAATTGAAAATTCTGAAGATACATGTTTATACTAAAAATTTGATTTAATAAAATTATCCAAAAAAGTTTGAACAAAATATTTGCATTTCCATATTTATGCACAATAAATTTTCATTCAAATGCATTTCAAAAGTTTTCACGCAATTTTCAAAAACGAAAATTGATAATATCATAATTTCCAATTAAATTAAATCCAATTTTATTGATAATCGAATCTTGAAAATTTCTAATATGCAATAATCATAATATCGTTAGTTAAGTTAACTAATACGAAAGTTTTTCACTTTTGTTTGAAAAAAAAAAGATTTTTTTTGTATGGCTACATAACGATAGAGAAAGAATAAAGCGGGCGAAAAGTTTTTAAGAAAGAAAATGATATTGTTGTAGCTTACAGTTTTCATTCCAACCGATCCTTCATCATCATCTTTTATGCTAATTATATTTGCAATCATAAATGTACACAAACATATATGCATGTACACAAACATTCAAATCAAGATTGATTCAATTCATAATTCCAGTTATTCATGTCATCAAGATTTATAATAATTTTGAAATGGTTTCAATTCATAATTTTATTTCTGCAAGCCATCAAATTTTACAATAAATTTGAACTGATAATTTAAAAGGAAATATTTCGCGTAGAAGTGTTAACAAAATTATTTTAATATGTAAAAAGTTCAACTGCAAAAATTGATCAGTTTGAATTCTAAAATTGTCGTTTTTTTAAAAGCAATGTTTTCTTTGTTTAATGTAATTAAATTCTTTTAATCTCAATTAAAAATAGTCAAAATAAAATGCATATGCAAATGATTTTATCAAAATTGCAGAATTTTTCAGACAAGTAAAGATTGATGGTTTGAAATTTGAATTTCTTGTGCATTGTCCATTCGAAGATCAATCGTTGAATTCTTTAAATCAAGCCTTCAGAAATGATGTACTTTAAATGGAAATTTTTATAGCTGGTTTTAGAAAGCAAACTGTCAACAATCGATTTTCATGAAGCAATTTTGATTTTCTATATTTAGTTCACAGAAATAATGTGCAAAATTTTTATGGGAGAAAATACCATCACAAAAAATCTAACTGAAACTTCAACACACTAAAGTGTATTATAATTATGATTAATAGTATGTGATTAAAAGAAAAAAGAAAAATTTACCTGTCAAAACTTTGAAAGGCAAATTTTCAAATTCCATTGCGTCCATTTTTAGCACAATTTTACATCAATTTTGAGAATTAAATCGAAAAAAAGACTAGTTATCACACTTAATCATTTTTTTCTTTTAGCCAATGAAAAATCCTTTGAGGATTTTCAACTATCAGCAAAAATTGTTTAAATTCGTATAGCAATTTAAAATTGATTACTAAACTGTAATCTTTTTTCATATTACATTCCGGAGAGAATATATCGATATATTTGGAACAGAAATTATTTATGGCGAAACTTAGCAGCATGAAATTCAAAATTCATAAGAAAGAATTGAAGATTACAGTTTCTAAATGAAATTAATAATAAGTTCAAAAAAATTAAATTTGAAAAATATAAATTCAAATGTTACTATCTTCACGGAGGTTACATGTCATTTAATAGATATTCATTCTATCACAGAAATTATCAGTAAGTTGCAACTTTACACATTTAATTTTTATTTGCTCTTCTTGATTAAGCGATCAGTTTGCAATTTCTCTTTTTTTTAATATCACTGAATCAATTTCAATGATAAAAAAAATGAATGCATTTATTTGAATGATTTCACTTTATTTCTTCAAAAACTTTTCGTTAAAATTTCAAAAAAAAGCTTAAAATTTTGGAAATTTTATTTTTACAATCTTTTTTTTGGTAGAACTGATAAATGTGTAATTAGAGATTTGATAAGTTTAGCAATCGTTGAAAGAAAGAAATATGTTAGATGCAATATGATAAGCACAATCAGAGACAGGTAGATATGGTGTTTATTGATTTAATCGATTCTTCTTTAATCTTAGCAAAACTTTAATAATTAATAAATCACTTAATTGGTATGTTAAATAATTTCATTGATCTTTTTTTAAAAATTCCATAAGTGTAGTGAAAGAGAATATGCAAAATGTGATATTATCTTCCAGTCAAGTGATAATCCTGCACCACGAAGTTTAAATTGCCTTACAATCATATCATTATAAAATTTAAAAAACCTACAATAATGAAAAAGATGGCAATCATCAGTTCTATAGGAATGTAAACCACGCATAAATAGTCCGAATTGATAACGATCTCCTCTTAGATATCAAGATATGATTAATTATGTTTAAAAAAAGACGATAATGAGAAGATTAATTTATCTTTAATCTCAGATTGTCAAATTTGACTATCATAAATAAACAATTATCCAACGGACCATCTTAATGGGTCATTCATCTCCATGACAATCATCGTAACATTCGGCACGACGATTTTGTTCTCATCAACTGAACTTCTATTTTATAATCATTGCTTATTTATATTTCTCGTTATTGTTTGTTTCCTAAGTGTATGCTGTTAAAAATTAATTCATTTTTCCCCCTCTTTTTTCCAATCCAATATTTATCTTTAATAAAAATAATAGCTGAATTTTCAAAATTTTAGCAAAATTTGATGAGTTTGACAAAAATTATATTTTTGCAAAAAAATCATGGTATATTTGTTTCAAATGCGATCATTTAGATCGTTTTTTTTTTTTTGAACAAATTTATCACAGAAAATTTGTCACATTTGATTTTTACTATTAATTTTGATTGCTAATTAATTCCAAAAATCAAATGATGTCCACCAAAAAAATGTAAGTTAAAACTTATTTTTGGTCAGGTTAACGTTTTTTTGCATATTAATGTATAAAATAAGTTAAAAAATTTTTTTCTTGCATATAAAATAGATTTCAAAAAAATCAAATTCAGAAAAAATTCAAAAAAATGCTTTAAATAAATCATAAATTTATATGGGATGCAAAATTTTGAAAGCATTTACCAAGAATTATCATTGATCACATGAACTTATATTGCAATTTATTTATGAATTTTGCGATGAAAAAAGAACAATTAAAATTACCCACTCAAATTTTGCACTTTATTTTATTTTCAACAATAAAAACATTTTGAAGTACTATCACAATTACTTCAAAAATCACCATTTACATCTTTGTCGCAGTATTTCAAAGAGGGATATTTTATGTGATGATTTCATAGTATATCATTTGTTTGTTCTGATCTAAAATTTTTGATCGGAATAGAACGAACACTCATTAATAATCATTGCTTATTGCTATGAACAATAATAGAAAGGTAATTGGCGAGCAAACATGAAAATAACAAAATGACAGTGAAAATCATTTCTTTTGAAAGCTTATAATTTATGATAAAGAAAAGTTTTAAAATGTAAATTGCAAAAAAAGGTTATTTTGTTGTTATAATTTAAATTAAAATGTTTGCATAGAATAATTATTTTATTTAAAAATAAGCAATAAAAATTATCATTTTAAATGAAAAAAATGTTAAAAAGTTAAACGAATCAAAAATCAGTATGTATGCTTTACGGAACTTCCATTTATCATAATAAATTTTACAATTTATATGCAAGTTTGATTGGCACTTAATAAATTACATGAAGTATAATCGTCGTTCAAAATTAATGATAAAATCATTTGTCATTTTTTCAAAGCGAATGATATTTCCATCAAAATATGAGTTTGCTATCATCGGTATATTCTTCCATTCCTTATTAAATTGTTTTATTTTTTGATTTGACAAAATTCATTTCTTAAATAATTCATTGTAATTTCTCATATTTCTAGAATAATCACAATCATAATAATCAATATTTTACAACGAATTATTCATTTTATCAAATTAAAATAAGCAATCATGTGAGCATAAATTTCTACTGAGAAAATTTTCCTAAATTTATTAGAACTTTTTTCTTTTTTTATTTGATTTCTTTAATAATTTATAAAAGAATTTTCACATTTATTCATTAAAGGTAAATATTATTTACAACCGGTTTTCTTATATCGTTCTCTTTTAAAAATAGAAATGTTATGATTGTGAAAAAAAAATATTGGAAGTGTTAAACGGTGAGAAATTTGATTTTTACCCTTTACTTAAATCAAACAGCCGTTTCTTTCTTGCAATTAATCTGTAACAGTAATCAGAGTTAACTGGGAAGCACTTGAAAATATTACACAAGAAGAATTCATTTACAAAATTACGGAAAAAAACATTTTGAATAGATTATTTGTATGATTTTTTTTTGAACGAATATTCTCTGTTGGTTTAGGAGTAATCTGAATTCTTCAAACATTTCCACTTTCTTTATTCTTGCTTTTTTTCTAGCAATTCATTCTTCTTCTAAAAAAAATTATTAAAATTTTATTTAAAAAACTCTTGATATTTGTACTTTAATGTATGAATTTGATTTTCTTTTTTTTATAAATTTTTACATTACACAGTACAACTGTGTTCAAAAAAGTAGAAATCAATTAAATTGGAAAATTCTTTCTAAATTTTGTTGAATTTTTGACTTTCTCATTCGTTTTTATTCGTTGTTTTTTATTTTATCAATTGAAATTCATATTTGATTTTAAAATTTTAATCACTAACTATGAAGAAATGATTTACTACGAAAAATTTATTTTAGTTCAATTTTTAATTCAGTTCATTCAAATTTCCTTTTTTGTTCATTATTTTATAATTTGTTTAATTTAATCGTTCTTCAAACTTTGAATATTTTTTCAAGCATTAACGCTTAACATTGATAAAAATTATCAGAAGTCTCTAACGCTGACAACAATGGTGAAATTATTGATTTACTTATCGATTCTAACTGTCTGTGTGGAAACTTTGAGTGTTATCGGTACAACGCAAAGTGCGGGAATTATGGGTACTCTCATGTGCAATAATAAACCTGCCGTTAATGTTAAAGTGAAATTGTACGACGATGATCGTGGTCTATATTCTCACGCACTTCTTCCATTCTTTTATTTTTGTTTTTAAACTGATATTTTAATTTCAATCAAATTTGAAAAAGATTTCATTTTATATCAAATTGGCAAGCAGTTTTTGTAGTCTTTTTTTGAGAAATAAAACATGCAAAAAATGGAATATCTGATAGCGTTGAGAACTGATATAAAATTAAAATACGAAGTTTTTAATAGTATTTCAATATGATCAATGATATAATTAACTATTGGAATATTCCAAAGCTGTAATATTTTTTGGAGCCTTTGAAATTTTAATAAACATTGATTTTTACAAATTTAAACAGGTATTGACACCGATGACTTATTAGCACAAGGTAAGACTAATTCGGAAGGACATTTTGAGCTTAAAGGATACACCAGTGAAATTACTACAATCGATCCAAAACTCAACGTTTATCATGATTGCGAGGATGAATTGACGGTAAATTAAATTATGAATTTAATTACAATTAAAGTGAATCTCTTTATTTCATAGTCACTTTAAAAAAGTTTTCACTTTTTTGCTTTAAAATATAAATTGATCTATGATAAAGACTTTCACGTACTGTAATTCGTATTTTACAACTTCTGAATTACTAAATTTTTAATCACTAACTATGAAGAAATGATTTACTCTGAATTACTAAATTGCTAATAATTAATTTATCAAGTTTCAAAATTTTGTACGCAAAAATATGTTAACTCAAATAGCTAAATTAAGGTGAAGGTAAAATCGAACAAATATCTAATTAAATCAGTTATATATTACTTAATATCTTTGCTAATTTTCATTGTTCTTTTCTTACTTTCCTCATAATTTTCTGCTAGCCTTCAATAATTCTGATTTCTTTGTTTCAACAAAATTCTAAAGCATTTATTTTTAGCCATGTCAACGTAAGATCACAATTTACATACCTGATGCATATATTTCATCGGGAAAAACACCGAAGAAAATTTATGATGCAGGAACAATTCAGTTGGCTGGAAAATTTAAAGGTGAAACACGGGATTGTCTTAATTAATTGTGACTTGAAATAAAGGATTCACTCTATTTGATATACTTACTGATTTAATTTGTAACTTAATTAGAATAAATGCTTGTAGTATAAAAAATTATCGATTATTCCGCTTATTGTAGCGATGAAAGATAAATATAAACTGCATTTAGCTTTCTATTCCATAGGACATATCGCAAAACGCGATGAAAAATGGAAAATAAGTAGTAATAATGATTTTAAATTGGAATGAAGTGATTATTTTAATAATAAAGTGATCATTTAAACTAGCTTAAATATATATGTAATTCATTTGATATTTGTATCTTCTTAACTCTATAAAACCGTATATTACTGTATTACTGTCCATTGTTCTAATAGTGATTTCAAATTCAGTTATACATCAAAAAGACTTTAAGTTTACTTAAAAAATACGAAATTATTTATTCAATTAAATTCAATTAGAAAATACGCAGTTGTTCATTTGAAAAAAATCAGAAGAAATATTGTGTTTTTGTTGGTAAAAAAGGTAATAAGCAAAAGGAGAAATTATCGAGTTTGCATGAGCTTACTTACAGATATGACTATAAAATCTCATAAAGAATCCCCTACCAAAAAAAATCAAACCTTAAATTTTATAGTTTAATTTTTTTGATGTCAATAAGCGTTGAATTTTACGGTTTAGTTTTTTAATCAATCAGACATTGAAAGCTTCAGCAGTTAATTTTGATCTCGAGAGTGGGAAAATTATCGAGATCATAAATAAGAGAAAAGGGAATATGAAGCACGACTAGGAGATTTATATTTCGAATTACAATTGGAAGACAATTTTTGGCCAATCGTTTGAGTTACTCATTACATTCATGTAAATAAATAAATTCCACGAAATGTATGCAAAGTGGGAATGTGTACTTACGGACTTCAATGTTTTATCATATTGAAAAATTTGAGGAAGTTTATGAATCAGTCGCTTTGAATGGTGTCACAACACTGACCTTTCAATTTCTTTATATTTTTTTTCTTTAATACAAATGTTTTAGTAATGAGTGATTGGAATTATTTAGTTTTAGTTTTTTTTTTGAGTTTTGCATGAATTAATTCGTAATGCTTACTTTATTATGTGAGCATCAGTTAGATTGCTTAACATAATTTTATTTAATTTAGCATTAATTTTTTAAACGTAAAACGAAAAGGCATTTTGAAACAAAATTCTTCTTGCGACTTTTTTTCTTATAGTTACTAGTAAATATGATAATCGCTATAACAAAAGAATCATGATGTATGGCTCAATCAAACAAACAAACAGCTCAAAATTTTTTGTACAGTTCGGCTTCCTAATACAGATTAAAAGACGAAACAGTAACAGTATTGATGTACGGATAACAGAAAATTCGATTACTTCTTTGGATGAAATAAGCACAATTTAGGAAATATTGGTGATATTGTTGAACTCTGATCATACAAGCATACTGAAATCTCTTGAACGCTAAAGACCGAATGCATCACATACAAAAGACAGTTACAGTGAATAACTTCAACTTGAAGCAGCAAATTCACAATTTACTCTTCAATCGAATCGGAATTGAGATATTTGCAACAAAACTTAAACAGTAACGTTGAGAAGCTGAAAATTCGAGTCATTTCTTCAGTGAAAGTACGGTAAGATGTAATTAACATATTTTTCTATGTTACAGTAAACATTTTTCGAAGAAATAGTCGTATACGAAATTTCTAAAGCAAAAAAAAAACCTTAATGTTTGATATCTGCTCATTTTTAGAATCATTAAAGAACTGGAATTTTTTTTATCAAATACTGAGGTTTATCTAACTTTTGGATATTTTTCTTTTTCATTTTTTTGGAAATGAACATAATGAGTTAGGAATATATGATCATCATATATGTTGTAAACAAACCAGGAATTTAATTGACAGTAGAAGAAATTGTAATAGAAAAATATTTATACACAGAACCGAAGAATCATAACAGCAGAAACACACCACATATTAGAAATAAATTTAAAGGAAAGAAAAAAATACACATCAAAAAAAGTGTTAAATGTATTTAGCCAATATGTATCTGAATTTTGTAATAGCATCCATTAATACCTTTCATTTCCTGGACTGTTTACTAATATGAAACTCTTCCAACATAGAATAATTGCGAGGATAATCGGCTTAGAATAATTGCGAAGCATATAAGTTAAGTCATCTCATACAATTTAAATGACACTCAAAACTTTTTTTTGCAAGAAACACTTCATTACATACCTTATCAGTATCATATTTATATTGCATATCTTACCATTCAGCTTTACTCGTTTAAATCATAAATAATTTCCACAGATATTCTGTATGATTAAGAAAAACCAGCTAACAACAACTGCAATGAAAAATAATTTTAACAGACAAATTTTCAAAAAATTAGCCTGAGATATTTTGGTTGGAGATCATAAATTCTATGTCTTTAACAACCTCTTATCTTATCCCAACAGTAAACGTTCATAAAACAAATCGATTAATTTTTCTCAAATTTGCAGAAATGTGCAAGAATAGTTTATAATCTGAAATTGATTTTATTTGGCCAAGATGCAATATTACAAATCTGATCAGAAAGAGAAACTGAAATATAACTTTCGGAAGTTATGAAAAAAGATTTTGTTACCGTTGAAGAAGTTTCAGCATACAATTAATGAATCCATCAATATTTCGTAAGATTCACTGATTATAGCATATTTACGCTACTTAGAAAAGTTGCAACATAGTTTAAAGTTTCTGAATATTGAAAGTGAAGCAGCGGTAGTGCTTGTCTATCCTGCTGTCGAATGGCTTCTCTTTCTAACCCTTCCATATCAAGAGCCTGTTGATTGACTGGCACTTTAAAACGTCTACGATTTTTCTGTCGTTCATCAGCTCTCACCAACTCTGTCCAGTCTGATATTTGCAACTAAAAACAAAAGGTTGAATAATTATTTGTAAAATAATGGGTATCCGATAATTAACAAATAATATCTATACAGGTCAATTACAAATTGCGTAATTGCAGATCAAAAGGTTGCTTATTAGTAGGTAATTGAAATTTTACTAGTTGGTAATAAAAAAATAACTTGTTATTTATATTTTTTATTCGATGATTGATGACTTCTGCTAAGAAACACTAAAGCTATAGTAAAGCTTATTTTATTTTAAAATTCAAGCAAACCTAGTTCAGAATTGAATTTGAAACGGAAACTCAAAATATTAAACTTCAGAGTAAAGTTGATCCAAAAAACTTGGAGTTGAGCGGAGTTGACTTAAATTGAGTCTTTTCATGAAGAATAAGTGTGCTCAACATTTTGTCATTAAAACAGTAAGAAAATCCAAAGATTTAAAAATGAAAAGAGAAAAAAAACATCATCAAATTTGCATAATACTTTACTCAGTATCCTGAACAATCTAAAATCCTAAACTTATCACTAAGTCTTCGATAAGAGAAATTTTCAATAATCTCAGAAACATGACGATACCTGTAAGGGCTGAAGATAGCGCTTATAAATATTGAGCATTAATTCCGGATTTATCCTACGCAGCGCCTGTTCCTGAGCAAATATGAAGGTGGATAAATAGTACTGTAATCCATCGCTGAGACATGAATAACGTATAGTCATTATATCACCCCAGAAAAAATCAAGTTCTTTACGAAACACCTCGTAATTAAGCTTAGAGCGAAATAAATCGACAATCCATGCAAAGAAATGTGGCTCGAATTTTAATCTGAAATAAAGCGACAATCTCAAAAGCTGCAGTCTCCACGATTACTCAATTTTGAAAACGTTTGCTTTTAAGTGGAACCAGCGTATGATGTTAAATTGTAAACTTTTATGGCATCATATAAGTGAGAAATAAAGTTCATTGAAATCATAACTTTCTCAACTAATTTCGACGAAATAATTCACATTCTTATAACTTTTTTTTAAAAAAAAAGCAATATTTAATAGAAATACTGAACTTCGTCTGTCACTCAAAATTTGAAAAAGCAGAAGGAAGCAAAGACTTCATTTTTTTTAACTTACGATTTTTCATCATCAACATTGATTTTGTGAAAATTTTTCTTCCTGAAAAGAAACCATGATAAGAAAATGATGTCAGAGGGCAGAGAGCTTTAAAAGAATTTTCACTAAAAATTATTTTGCGACATAATAAGAACATAAAAATCACAATCACAAAGGATTTAGCTATGCATATTCTTTAATTCACAATGCATGATAATTTCTGCAATTTCTATTTTTTTAAATCGTTTGTTATATTTCTAGTTTATGATGCATAACTTACTGTATTTCTCCTTCTCGAATCATGCTGAACAATTTTCGGATAATAAGTAATTGAGCTACCGGTTCAAATTTCGATAAGAACATTTTGAAAGTATCCATGCACACCACTCGCACTTCGCATAATGTGCATTCCTCACAGCATATTAAAAAATCAGCAAGAAATTCCTGCAGTAGAAAATAGCTGAAGAAATGGAAGAACATCACGCTACTACCTTTTCCTAATGATACATTTATACCTAATATTAGAATCAAATGCATTAATTTCGAAGTATAGGAGTAATCAAAAATCGCTCTCAATATTAAGACTTATTCATTAAGTTCTATAAAAACAGGCTTGTTAGAAATTTCTTGAATCATACTACGAAAATCGTGCATTGATTTCGTCCTATTGACTCATTCTTGATAGAAACCAAACAATTTCGTAATACTAATACTACATAACCAATGTTGAACATATTTGAAGTTGAAACATGAAGTGAGTGACGAAGTGGACGAATAGCAAGTTTAAGATAATATTCAGGTGCATATACTTGAGGAAGTGAATAATATCTTGATCTAAAAATAAAACTACATCTAAGTTTGTCGAGACACCAATTATGCTTTCTAATAGATTAGATCTTTTTCATTTCCTTATCTTGAAACTTTTTACTCGTTATTGTGAAACAGAAAATGAAAAGTGTATAATTGAAATTGATTAACAAAACCGATATAGAACTTCGAATTTCTCAAAATCAATGATAAATGATAAAAACGATTGCAGTAAAAACTGGATAGGATTACTACGATCATTTCCTTTATTTTACGTTATTACCATTTGAGTATTACAACTTCTACAATGTATTTATTACTTAATAAAGTACTTACTTTAAAGAATTGACCAAAACAAGCGTATTGAATGGTAATCGTTCATTGGAAAATTTATAAATTTCATCTAATTTCATAATAAATACCTCCAAATAATGACTTTGAATATGCGTGCATGCTAACACTTTATTGAACAATTCATCCAGTAATTTATAGTTTGTGCTCGTCGATAAACTAGAAAATGAATCATGTGAACAAGAATTTGCATACAATGAATAATTATCCTTATAATAGATAAAGATCAAAAGAGATCCTTACTTGCTTAGATTACAGAAGAATAATGATATCATTTGACAAAGCAATTTTTTCAATAGTCATAATAATTAATTAGGTCGTCCATGGTTTAAAATCTATGATTTCTGCAAAAGACAATAGTAATCTAGGACTTACGTAAAAATTCGTAAAAACATAAAAATAGCTGCTGAAAAAAGGTCAGAAATTGCATCTGGCAATGCTGGATCGTAGTTTTGATCCAAATAATCGGCTTCTAGATTCGAAAAATATCCCCTGTTTAACTGATCGTTTGAATAATTTAACGCAACACTTTTTTCGAATCGTTCAATCCATGACGGGATATAAAGTTTTACAATGTCGTAGACGAAACTAAACTTAAATTTATGTAAAGCAACCTGAGATCTAAACAAATTCTAAAGCTTTCTACAGTTTTTATTATTTTCCAAGCAGCTATATATTTATTCGAGCAGCATGATTTATTTTAGAAATCGTGACTATATAAGGTTTAGTCAGCTAGATAATAGAGCATAAAATAAATGGAATAATAAACTTTTCTCAAGCAAGGAAATAAAAATTGAAGCGGAATGTTGCTCGAATAAACAATGCTAAGATATAGGTAAAGCAAGCTAATGAAGATTTGGATAAATAAGAATACTATCATGCAAACATATAAAAGTCAATCATAAATACATTAAAAAAATGTACTACTGCCGTACCAAGTAGGAATGAAAGCTATTCCAGAAGAAAAAACTTACTGCTCGCTGAAATCCTCCATCTCCGGCATTATTTCTTCCATAAAACTTCCAAGCATCATAAATGCCTTCCATGAATTGGCTCGATCAGAGCATTCAAGAAGAACACATAGCCTAAAATTTTCGATATTATAGAGGCCAATATATAAAATGCGAGTTCAAAACAAATTCTTTGGAACTGATTTTATCAATTCCAAAGAATTATTTAAATATGAAAGATATCCCATTTCTCATGCCAATATAAATAATACAAACAAGTTAAGTGATTCAAACACGCTTAATCTAGCAAAACTAATTTAAACGTACTTGTCTTTAGTATTTCCATATGATTTCAACAATATTAAAGCACTTTCCAGAATGGGATCGGAAATACCCGTTTCACTGAAATCTTCGTCATATTCCTCAAAAACTGCTCGAAACAGTTCCCGATAAATATTCTTAAGAACATGATCGGTTGTAGCAATTATCAGACTATATACTTCATTGTATTTCTTACATTTCAATCGATGGATAATCTCTCCAACAAGTTCTTCATCTGTCCGATTATCTTCTTCTATTGTTTCACTATAAGAAAATTACAGTCATGGATAATTTTTGCTAATTTACCAGCTTAATAGCTTAATAGCCCGCTTCTAACAACAACTTATTAACTCAATCAATTATCAGACATAATAGCCTATAAAATTTGAAAACATTAAAGTATGGGCTAGAATGCTATACTAGTTTTTTTTTTTTTTTGGTATATAAATAAACTTCCGAACCAAGGATTTGAATCATTTCACTGTCTAATCAAATATATTTTTGGTACAAATGTATTTGATTAGAGAAAACAGTGACTACCAGTAAAATTCTGAATTGCTACGTAAATTTCACATTATCTAACAAATTAACGAAAATTAATCT